TCCCAAAGAAAAGTGTTGCATGGCCAGTGGCCCGCGGGCAGAAGAACCTGCCCTTGCGGGTTTGCAGAAATTTTGGAAGAGTCCTAGCATACGGGTGGAGCCGGACTGCACGGTTTGCAGCGCTGGAAGCCAAGTATGTCTCAGTATGACGTGAAGCCTCCCCTGCGCCTAACTTACTCCAATAGCGCTAGCACGCTTAGCACGCCATGCAGGGTGCGCTTGGTCAACAATTGTGTGCCTTTATTGGTTGCATATGATAAGCCTTGGCACTATGTGGCATGCATTTTATTTTTAGAATGGTTTTGGTGACGCTAGGTCAGCAGCCCGTCCATGTACACAACAGCCTGGCAACTGAAAATACCGGAAGCGAGGTTATGGCCAAAGATTATTCAAACACACCATGTAGGGCAAATGGGAAAGACAAAAACAACCATTGGCTGCCATCAAGGGAACGTGGTCTTCGAAAGTGGGCGCTACGCTACGCAGCCAGGTGGCACTGAGCCTACACCATGCCGTGGCCGCCGTGAGCCGTGAGCATTCGGATGTGGCTCGAAGATGAGCCCTCCGTGGTGAAGGCAGAAGTCCAAAACGGAAGACAACTAAAACAAAACCTGTTACCTGTACCAAAGCACCCTGCACAGGAAAAGTTTCTTGTATGGCTGCCGGGCAAGAAGAGAACAGGACACGTGCAAAGTATGTAGCTGCTGGCTGAGATGGTGGCGTTTTTTCATCCAAAAATGTTTCTGTTCGACAAAATGATTTCTTTTCTGTTTCCTAGTATTTTTCTCAAGTGCCATCACTTCGCCTTCTTGATATGATTTTGTTTTGTGTCCCGACGTTGAAGTGCAAGACATACGCCGATGCTATGTGACAAACTCCCTTGCGTTTGTGGCAGTGCGCATATGCACCTCCGAAAGTGTCCAACGGCGTGCTTGTAAACGACCGAGTTATGCTTTTTGAATTGCTGCCTGGTGCTTCTGTTGGCGTATGTCATGGCTGTTGAGTTCAGGAAATCAATGCTGTTTGGGGTCGAAAATGGTGTATTTTGTCGAGAGAAGGAAAACACACCTGGAGACTGGAAGCAGGTTGTTGGAATTTTCGTTACAAAAGGTTGAGGCATGTCTACCCCTGATCTCACCAACCGCGTTTTGCCTGGAGATGGGCCGCATATGGCCGCACCACCCGTGCCGTTCAGCACTTGCCCGCCCAGGGGTGGGAACCACCTCTTTTTTTTACATTACCTTGACGTCAGCCCGGCGCCGAGCCACCAGGACCACAACGGACGCCAGTCACCGTGGTTGGCAGCGCCACACAACACCGAGCTTACACACAGCATAGCACCGAGACGTGCTCGCGGGCCGGGAGGCTCCCGGCCAAGCCATGTTGGCTTCAGTCAAGTGTGTGCACGTTTTTTTGCGTGAAAGTTGCGGCGTGTAAACGTTGGCTTTTGTAAGAGCTTTACGCAGTGCGTCGACGCCGCGTTGTGCAACCTCATTGTAGGACTTCACTTCTCTTTCGCATATCTTTCATGTGCTGTTGTTCAGGTGCCTTCGGAATTCACTGAAACTGCTCTGGAACTCAGATTGCGCAGCTGGCAGCTTATGTTGTTCAATTCCGCCCCGGCGGTTTATACCAGGCCTGGGAAAAGCGCATCCGGCATATTTTTGGAACACAGCACAAAACTGTTTTTGATCGCTTTTCGTGCTCCAGGGCTCAGCGGGCCACCCCAAAATGGAATGTGTTTAGTAGCTCACCAGCGCCGCGCTTGCCACGAAATCTGCGAGGTTCACGAAGTGCTGCGCCTGCTTCAAAGGCTGTTGTAAATGGCAACAAGCTCATGGAAACGATTGTGCAAGGAAAACAATGCCCTCAAACGATGTAAATCGCCAACACCTTCATCGATGTTGTTTTCGACACTGGCCAACAATGTATTGGACTGCCTACGTGCTTTTTGTATGTAACGTTCAGCACGAGCTGTCCAACCCTTGTGGTATTGTTCCAAGTTTAATTGAAATTTTGTGTGAAAGTGGCCGGCCAGAACCCATCACATACACAATTTGACTGAAACTGTTGAGACTCAAAGAAGAACGCGCACGAAACTCAGCTAAAACTCGCCATGCTCGCTTGGTCGCTGCCATAGCGTGCAGCAGTGTCCCAAGGAATGCGTGTTGGGCAATGTCTACATCCAATCCATTTGCACGCGCGGAGTTGCAGAGTCTTCCCGTGCATCTTGAGCAGTTTTGTCCTCCCTGGATTTCGCACTGTGAAGCAATCAAAAGTGAGTGATCTCATGTCTTTCAATTTGTCTGGCACCTTCTGGTTTTTGAGTTCCCTTTGTTTGGATCTTTGCCTGGGGTCCGTGTTCAATCCATGTCCTTCTGGTGTTGGTCATAGGAAATGCACCACAGCCCATCATACAGCTTGGCCCTGGTTCCAGTTGCATTCACTCCCAAAGTGTTACATCCAGTTTGCAAATCCTTCACTTGTGCTTTGTTTCGCAAGCCCTCGACCGTTCACCAACAGCGTCTTTGGTTGTGCTTACTGTCCTCCAGCCATCGTTGTGCATGTGCCATGGGAACATCGTGCGACTCTGACGGAATCCTGGTTCTCTGTGAAACAACTGTTGTCATTCTTCCACACTCTTCAGCAGTTTTTGGAAACTGAGAATTCAACACCGGCTCACAAAAACAGGCACTCAGAAACTGAACATGTCCCTCTTGAAAGGTCAGGGTATGGGGCGGAGCCTCGGCTGTGCACGCTGAATTTGCTCGCCTGTACACGCGGCTTGCTCGGCTGAACGAAAGAAAAGAAAGAAAGAAAGAATGAATGAATGAAACAATGCGCAACAAAAATCATCATGAATCATGCAGATGAATGTCCAGAGGGACGTTATTAACACCCCCCCCCCCCCCCCCCCCCCCCCCCCCCCCCCCCCCCCC